CACGGAGTCCTCATTCCCTGTGTACACAAGAGCCAGAGCTGCTCCTTATTTCTCCAGCCCTCACAGCAGCTACATCACTTACTCTGTACCCACTTTTACCCAGGATGCTCTCCGTTTCCGGTTATAAAAAAAACGTTCCTATACTCCTGAATTGCACTTTTTCTACGTTATTCGTTTTTGAGTGGACCATACACTTCAGAGAGACTTTTCTTTAAAAACAGGCACACTTTCAAAACACACAAGGACTGGTAATGGCCTTGTGTGTGTCTCAGTGTCACTGTGTCTATTTTCTTTTTATTTGTGGCTGTATTTTATTCATGACTCGTGGTTAAACTCCTGCGGCCTTGCTGGATTACTGGACTGGGAAATAGTAACATTTTTACATAATATTGGTCAGCATCTGGCCTCAAGAGGGCAGTATGATATTTCAAAGTTTAGCTAGCTCGTGATCCACAAATGTCAACACACCCTTGTACAAAACTCTGAACAATTAAAGGTGTTTGTTTTACTATTCTGGTACATAATTTGTTTATTTTTCACATGTTTTTTTTATTCTGTAATTCAACTAAACTCACCTGAAAGGTATATAGGTCATGCAGGGCTGAGTGTAAAGAGAGTACAGCATATAATAAGGCACCTCCTGAATAACCAAACAACAGACCATACAAAAAAAGTTGGGAAATTTGAACTTTACAACCCTGAGGCGATAGTCACCCTTTAAGTCCTTGACATTGCGTTCAGTTGACTGACCACTCTGGCAAGGTTAAGGTGAGCAAATATGGAAAGGATCACATCTATTTGCGTTTCTATTTGCAGTACATCTGCACTGCAATGTACATTGTCTGAACTATAACCTACTTAGTCCGTTTAGACTTATTTTACAGGAACAAAATAGTTTTTGGTACGAGCATCAAATACTCAGTGGACTGTGTGAGGTGGAATCGCATTATTGGACAACTGAGCCGTAGAGGATCTAGTCAGGAAACAAAGGCCCAGAGTCAGGGATTAGCAAAATAAGACATTACATTCATTTCTAGTTTAAAAGTGGCTCTTTTCACACTGTGCTGCCACACTTTTACATAATACAAGCAGTCTTTGTCCAGAGGAATGCCAAGCATAAAGGTCTCCATTAACATTGTGCTGTGTCAGATCAAATTAAAGTCATGATCTCAAGCAAGTTAGGTTTTTATTTATGATCCACTAACTCCACACAAAACATTTAAACTTTACAAACAAGCTTTGTAGAAAGACAGTACATATTGACCTAGTGATTATTTGAGATCTATAACACAATGAACACTAGAAAACATTTCCTATTAGAATAGAAATGCAACAAGTGTAAACCCACATTCAGAGTCGAGGTTGCCCAGCACAGGTCAACATGAAAGTTTGTCCAATTAATTCTTATGTCACGAGTAGAAAAGTGGATTTCAATAAGCATACACATTCCCAAAATAGTGCAAATTATTTTTCATGTTGAATCTTGTCACCACGGCCTATTAGTGGTCCAATTTTGAGATGACTGTCTCAGTGTTTAATGAAGCAAATAACTCAAAGGAAAGTCATCTGAGGTCAAGCTAAGATGCTACTTCCTGATCACTGTATCCCCCTTCTAGCCCCTATAAAAGTCAGGAGTTTGTTATCGCTGGCAATATCAGAGCATGTGAGTCTTGCAGTCAAACGCAAACAGAGAGGTCTGTCATAAGATGTAAAACTTGGCTGACCAGAGGGCAAGGAAGAGGAGTTGGGTGAGCTCAGCATTTGGCATTGTTTGCCCACGACATACTTTAACGTGGGATTACTGGTGGACGACCTAGATTGCGACGCAGCTCTTCTGCCTTCCATTTTTTCCCCCTCCCCCCCTCCACTGACTGGTCAACACAGATTATACTCAGAGAGCAAAGCCTGGCAGTCAGACAGAAAGGCTGAGCATGTGACTGACTGAGTGACACATTGAGGGACGTGAGACAACACCTCTTTCCTTTTTTCATTCCTTCTCGTTTTTTTTCTCCTTGTTCCTCAGGCTGCTGTCTAATTTACACAGCATCTATCTGCACATTATATTTCATTAAGGCCGTGATGAAAAAGGCCGTAACCGAATACAGAACCTGCTTTGTTTTGAATGTTTACAAGCCCAAGAAGTGTTTAAAATAGTATAGCCTACCAGGAGACCAGATAGGATTTTAATACATTGCAAAAGAGGAAACTGGAGACAGTCTAGTCTACTGTAAAGGATTAATTTCTGACGCCGATTTGTGTTTACTGATTGAGTAAACTGGTTCAAGCTCTAATCCTTCTGTATGCTTAACTGTGCAGACGATCCTCACTGTATTTGCTGTATAGGTCAGTGTTGCTCTGGATGTCACAGATGTCCTGTCCTCCCACTATGTCGGTGTTTGTTTATTCGTCTTCTTACAAATCCTTGACCCAAAATGTCCTTAGTTTCTGATGTAAGTCCTCCTCCAAACCAAAATATGCTTGCCTCTAAGCATGACCTTGTGAGCGATTGTGTGAGCCTTTATGTGAGTGTGAGTGTCCGGCTAATCTCTGGACACTTCTTATGCAGCATGTTTACAAGTAGGCCGGGAGACACCATGGGAACCTTCTGCACTGAGGACAAAACACAAAAATTAGCACTCAAACTTCCATTTCCTCCCATTTGACAGTGGGGCCTCGAGAGTAATACATTTATTATTTAGATTATTACTTAATACTGCAACCTTTTTACTATATAGCAAAACTACTACAATAATAAAACCACAATTTCAACTATTGCAATAATACCTCAGTAAGCAAAACACAACATACAGTAACTAAATTACAAGTTAAATCTCTGCAGTAACATTTTTAAAAGCATAGTTTCAAAAGTTAAAGTTCAGTTTATGCTGCATGACTCCTATCAGTGTTATATTCAGTTGGGAAAAAAGTACACATATAATTTACTTGAGTAAAAGTGTAACGTCTAAATATTCCCAATAACAAATACCTTTTTCTAAATTGACTTAAGCAAATGTACAGAGCTATTATCAGCTAAATGCACGGTAAGTGGCAAAAGTAAAAGTAGGCCTACTCATTCAAGTGATATAATATGATACCATTCTGTTTTTCATCACTAGAAAATATATTTAAGAGAATTTTCACATTGTGAATGTGGAGTCACTTAGAGGTACTTTCTATATTATTGGGTGAATTGGTAGTAGGCTATACTGCATCAAATATAAGTTATATATATCAAGATTGAACCAGTGCAGGGAAAATAACAATAATATTCTAGTGAAGCTAAAATAAACGGTAAAACATGGGAAAAAGCGGGGAAAATACACATCACAAAAGTATAACAAAATGGTACTGGCTAATTGTATTACCTTACCGGGTTAGTTATTTACACATATATTAACTATATGGGCAAATTCATACACTATATTACTTGCCAGCGTTAAATAAAACAAACACAAATCAATTATGTTCAGTGTAAAACAATATTAGCCTACTGAAAAACTACAATGGCTGCCTACTGGAGTAGCTCCACAGGTAGGTATACCTCTACAGGTATGTTTTGTTGACTTTTCTTATACAGTAGATCATAAATCCTCATGTCACGGTACAGCTTTTAGCCCACTCGTGTCGTAATGTTCTGAGTAAAACGAGAGGTCCTAAAGGTGTGGTACTCGGACGTAAGGAGATAAACAAGCCCCACGTCAACATCCGCTCCTCACTACAACAAACAATGGGGGCAGTCACGTCGCGCTCGTCTTCCTCGTCCCCAGTATCGCGCCTCCCCCAGCAGCTGCTGTCCTCCTGAAACTACTGGATCATCATTACAGCCTGTTCATTCAGCTACGGGCTGTGCTGCATTCAAGGACTATGGATCTGTCTTAAAGCGAATTTTCAACTTGAAAATGCCATTGATCTGTGCATTATGAATAACTTTTACTTTTGATGTTTTAAGTAGCCTACAGAATACATTACTTGTATGCGTTTTTTTTATAGTGTGCTACTGTCACTTTTTCTTAAGTAAAACATCTTAATAATTCCTCCAACACTGTGTTTTTTCTACCACATTGAATTGTACATCTCATTACAGAAGTAGTATTCACAACAGCCCCTGAAGGCAGCATTACACACAATGAATAAGCCCTTGTGGTCATTGAACATGCTTTGAAAAGTACTGGTGAGTTGACCAATACCTTTCAAGTTTACTTGCATTTACTTTTCAACACAATAATCAATCAATGATAGCATAATCTCTACAATAATACATTTTGACTTTTATATGTCTTTAGTAAAATTGTACTGATTTATCATAATAAAGAGACTTATCATGAGGGGCCTTTCAGTTTAGAAAAACGTTGATGGACAATTTAAATATGCCAATAATGATTTACAATATCATTCACTTTATAGTACGTTGTATAGCTTTGATAAAAAGTTCAAAGAATTGTTTTACGAGACCTTTGATTTACAACACTGATTAAGATATCTGCTTTTGAAGAATGTGATATTTATTTATCTTCACTATAAAGTTGATAAGGAATAATAAGCCCATCTGGGTCACAAAATTAACTCCTCACTAACTATTAACA